CCATAGCCACTTTTTAATTCAAATCTGCTACCTTCCAAATCATCATTTTCACTAATTCCTTTGCCCTCACCTTTTTCAATGATCGAATCGCCTAATGAAACATAGTGTCCTGTGTCTAACACAGATGTAGAACTTACAAATATAAATGGTTTTGAATGATGAGCACTGGCTAGATTTATGCACCATAATGTTCCTATAACATTTGCAGATCTGAGTTTTGGATATGGATATACCCAATGAACCTATTTTGTTTAAATTTACGTTAGTAGACAATTAATGAAACTAAATATGTTTAGGGGATCAAAGCTAATTAAACAATATAAAAAACTCACAAATGCACCATTATGCACAATAACATCAACCCTCTCACACAAAGATTTCCAATCCTCTTCTTCAATTCCTAATCTTTCCTTTTCCAAATCTCCACATACTACTTCTAATCTTCCTTCACTTTCCCATTCATCGCGCCACACCAAATGCGATTTGCAACTCTTTTTAAGTCTTTCCATTCCGAGTTGTTTTGTTTCAGCTCTTACATGCGCGATTATTTTAATTTCGTTATTATTGCTTAGCAAATCTGATAATATAAACGCCCCAAGGAATCCGGTCACACCTGTGACGAAAAATACCTTTCTTTGGTAATTTTCTGGAATTGGTGAGTAATTCAGCAACAAATATTTGGATGCCAAGATTTCTACATCATCTGCATAATTTATTTCTGGTCTTCCAATTTCAGTAACCGATTTAGAATTCGTAGTAATATTATTGGCAGCTTGAATTTCGGCACCTTCATCAACCATATTAAGTTCACCTCTTAGAACAATGTCAATTTCATTAGCTTGCTCGCGAATAGTAGGCTTCTCATACACTAACCCAAGTGGAATATTTACGCCACTTTTTTTTCTTAATTCAAATATTAATCTTGTAGCCAATAATGAATGTCCTCCTAAGTCAAAGAAATTTTCATCCAGCGGAATAAATGGGGCTGGTGGATTTGGAAGTAATTGTGCCCAAATCGCGTGAACTGCTTTTTCAGATTGTGACATTTTTTGAATTTTTGCACCTTTAGATGTTGACACGAATTTTGCAGTATCAGGAAATGGCAATGCTTGTTTATCTACCTTTCCATTTGGTGTCAATGGCATCCTTTTCAACGGAACAAATACTATCAAAACAAATTAAGAATTAGCCAACCCAAATTATATGGCATTAGATTTATATAGATAATTTTATATTACCACTTGGAATACAATAAGAAGGCACCTTCATCTTTAAATAATCTTTAATTTGTTTTATAAGCCTATTATATTTTCGTTTTTCAACCATCGTTTCTGCAGCATCATTTTCATCACCAGAACTTAGAAACTCTTCTAATTCACTTGTTTGGAGAGGTACAAAATAGCAAACAAGAGTTTGCTCTTCATATTTGTCTCTCCTCACTAACGTAACATTCTCCCTAATAAGCGGATGTTGTGACAGATGAGTGTCGATTTCTCCAAGTTCAATACGGAATCCACGAATTTTAACTTGATCATCAACCCTTCCAACGCATTCAACTGAACCAGTGGCATATTAGTAAATAGTTGAGGTAAAAAATAAGTAAATAAATAAACAAACAAACAAATATATATATATATATATATATATAAATTGTAAGAAAAAATATTACCATCTCCACCAGGTCGATACCTTCCTAAATCGCCAGTTTTGTATAACCTATCCCTTTTTCCTTTCCAAAAACGTTTCCACTCTTTGCTGTCATCAACATCATCTTGTAACATTCCTTCATTAAACCAATTCGTCAAAAATTTTTCGTTCGTAACATCATCCAATCTCAAATATCCTTCAGCTAATCCACCAGCCCGCACATAAATTTCACCAATCTCTCCAATACCACATAGAAGAGTTTTATTGCGCCTGTTAACCACCAATAATTGTACATTTTGCATACCTTTACCGGCTGGCATTATATCTTTTTGTGATTCCAAAAATGTTTGAGTAGAAGATAATGGTGGAATTAGAAAATATGAAACTGAACGTTGAGTTTCAGTTGTACCATACATATTGATGATATTGGTATTTGAAGCTAAATGTTGAAGACGGTTACAATCTCGTTTTGTTAAGATGTCGCCAACGAAGAATGCATTGCGGAGTGTTGGAATTGGAGCGGTAGCATTTGCAGAAAGTAATTGACCCATTGCTTATATTCATTGATTTATTTTTTTAATAACATTAATTCATGCCATAAGTTATCATATAAAAGCTCGACAATAATGAGAATTAATACCAGGAGTGAGATGTGTAATAGTGACTTCATGTTCGGCCATCCACTCTGCCAACTTTCCAGGAACACCAATATCTTCACTAGTTGGAATGTGTAATTCAGCACCAAAAAATAAGGGTGTAAAAACTAAATAAAAATAATAATAATAATGTTAATAATAATATTAAAATAAAATTAGAAAACTATCATAATTCAATTTTGAGTTTAATGAAATACTAACTGTCCCGCTGAATTGGGTCATGAGCGATACCACTTAACATGGTAAATCGATCTTTATCTGAAATCCCGAATTTTTGTGACATCCACGGATAATAATGTGTGAGCGAAAAATGTCGTCCTCTTACACCTTTGTTTAATTAAATAACAGTTTAGTTAACTAAATATATATTTCTTTTGATAGTGTGAAAAAGTATGTACCTTTTGGAGTTCCAGTACTTCCACTAGTAAAACTCAAAGTACCAATGCTATCGGGCCCAATGATTACACCAACGTCTTTAGACGCACTATCACGAACCACATCGAATATGTCCGCATTACTCTGATCATGGATATTTCCACCTTTAAGAAACCCATCATCCAATATTTCAAGTGCAGGAATTTCACACTTTAAATTAAGATTCTCTCGAATGTACGTTCTGACCAACGAATGGACGGTTCCGCTGTGTTTAAGAATAATCAATCCTCTTGGTACTGCGACTGAGAGATATATGTTTTGGCGTTCTGGTGGGTAGGCAGGATCTGTTTATAAAATTTTAAGAACTAATTATTTAAAATACAATAAAATATAAAAAACGTAATTAAAAAGAATTACACCAACCAATAACACTAAATGTAGCACCAGCTTT